CGTTGACAGGGTGGGTTAGGTAAAAAGGGCCCACAGTAATTGGCATATGCTGTTGTGGTGACCCTGCCCTAGTTGGCAAAGCTAAATAAATAAATAAAATAAATAAATATGAAGATAAAAAGCAGGTTATTCCAGGTGCATAATCGAAAAAGACGTGAAAGTTAATATTATACTGTTTGGAACCTGATGTTCTGTCGAATTTCAAGGCCTTTGTAGCAGAGACTTTAATTTGGTCCGGTCTGAAAGTTGTATGTCTGGAATCTAATATCCACAAGCTTTCTGTTGATGCCTCATTCTTGCATTACTATTACGGATTTTGAGATAAAAGTAGTTTTCTCCAGCTGTGTAATCGAAAAAGACGTGAAAGTTAATATTACATAAGTGAGGGCTAGGGCTAGGGTTTGGCTGTATCAAACCTGATGTTCTATTAAATTTTAAGGTCTCTGTAGCGGAAACGTGAATATACGCCGGTCTGAAAATTGTAGTTTTAGAATCTACTGTCCATAGGCTTTCTGTCGATGTCTTACTCGTGCATCAAAATACAATCTATGAAGATACAAACCGGGTTATTCCAGGTGCATAAATGAAAAAGACGTGAAACTTAATATTATGCTGTTTCGAACCTTTCGTTCTATTGAATTTCAATGCCTCTGCAGCTGAATCTGGAACTTGTCACGGTCTGAAAATTCCATTGGTGGAGTCTATGGCCATAGGCTTTCTGCCAATGCCTTACTCGTGCATCAAAAGACAGTCCATGAAGATGCAAACCAGGTAATTCCAGGTGCATGATCGAAAAAAACGGAAAACTTATTATTATGCCGTTTAGAACCTTGCGTTCTATTGAATTTCAATGCATCTGCAGCAGAAACTGGAATTTGCCACGGTCTCAAAATTGTAGTCTTGGAATGTACGTTCCAAAAGCTTTCTACCGATGCCTTATTTCTGTATCACTAGGCCGCCGGTGAAGATAAAAAGCAGGTTATTCCAGGTGCATAATCGAAAAAGACGTGAAAGTTAATATTATGCTCTTTTGAACCTTACGTTCTATTGAATTTCAAGGCCTCTGCAGCAGAAACTGAAACCTGTCATTGCCTGAAAAATGTATTATTGGAATCTATGGTCCATAGGCATTCTGTCAATGCCTTACTCGTGCATCAAAAAACAGTCCATGAAGATACAAACCAGGTTATTCCATGTGCATAATCGAAAAAGGCGTGAAAGTTAATATTATTCTGTTTTGAACCTGGCGTTCCATTGAATTTCAAGGCCTCTCCAGCAGAAACTGAAACTTGTCACCGCCTGAAAATTGTATTAGTGGAATCTACGGTCCATAGGCGTTCTGTCAATGCCTTACTCGTGCATCAAAAGACAGTCCGTGAAGATACAAAGCAGGTTATTCCAGGTGCATAATCGAAAAAGACGTGAAAGTTAATATTATGCTGTTTTGAACCTTGCGTTCTACTTAATTTCAAGGCCTCTGCAGCCGAAACTGGAATTTGCCACGGTCTGAAAATTGTAGTTTTTGAATCTACGATCCATAAGCTTTCTATCGATGCCTTATTCGTGCATCACTAGACTGTCGACGAAGATAGAAAGCAGGTTATTTCAGGTGCATAATCGAAAAAGACGCAAAGTTAATATTATGCTGTTTTGAACCTTGCGTTCTATTGAATTTCAACGAACCTCTTGCAGAAAGAGGTATATATCACGGTCTGTAAATTTTATTTATGGAATCTACGGTCCAAAAGTTTCTACTGGTACCTAATTCGTGTAATAATATACAGGCCATGAAGATAAAAAACGGGTTATTCCAGGTGCATAATCGAAAAATATATTATGCGGTTTCGAACCTGATGTTTTATCGAATTTCAAGGCAAGGGTAGCAGAGACTTTAATTTGGGCCGGCCGAAAAGTTGTATTTCTGGAATCTACTGTCAATAAGTTTTCTGTTGATACCTCTTTCGTACATCACTATGCCGGATTTCGAGATAAAGGCAGTTTTCTCCAGCTGTGTAATCGAAAAGGACGTGAAAGTTAATATTACATAAGTGAGGGCTAGGGTTAGGGTTTGGCTGTATCAAACCTGATGTTCTATTGAATTTTAAGGTTTCTGTAGCGGAAATGTGAAGTTACGCCTGTCTGAAAATGGTAGTTTTAGAATCTACTGTCCGTAGTCTTTCTGTCAATGCCTTACTCGTGCATCAAAAAACAGTCCATGAAGATACAAACCAGGTTATTCCAGGTGCATAATCGAAAAAGACGTGAAAGTTAATGTTATGCGGTTTGGAACCTGATGTTCTATCGAATTTCAACGCCTTTGTAGCAGAGACTTTAATTTGGGCCGGTCTGTAAGTTGTTTTTCTGGAATCTACTATCCCTAAGGTTGCTGTTGATGCCTCATTCGTGCATCACTATGCCGGATTTGGAGATAAAAGCAGTTTTCTCCAGGTGATTAATCGAAAAAGACGTGAAAATTAATATTACATAAGTGAGGGCTAGGGTTAGGGTTTGGCTGTATTGAACCTGATGTTCTATTGAATTTCAAGGTCCCTGTAGCGGAAACGTGAATTTACACCGGTCTGAAAATGGTATTTTTAGAACCTACGGTCCATAGGCTTTCTGTTGATGCCTTACTCGTGCATAAAAAGGCAGTCCATGAAGATACCAACCAGGTTATTCCAGGTGCATAATCGAAAAAGAGGTGAGAGTTAATATTATGCGGTTTGGATCCTGATGTTCTATCGAATTTCAAGGCCCTTGTAGCAGCGACTTGAATATGGGCCAGCTTGAAAGTTGTATTACTGGAATCTACGATTGATAAGCTTCTGTCGATGCCTCATTCGTGCATCCCTAGGATGGATGTGGAGATAAAAAGCAGTTTTTTCCAGCTGTCTAATCGAAAAAGACAGGAAAGTTAATATTACATAAGTGAGGGTTAGGGTTCGGCTGTTTCGAATCTGATGTTTTATTGAATTTCCAGGTACCTGTAGCGGAAACGTGAAATTAGGGTGGTCTGAAATTTCTATCTTCGGAATCTACCGTCCATTGGCTTTCTGTCGATGCCTTACTCGTGCATCAAAAGACAGTCTATGCAGATACAAACCAGGTAATTCCAGGTGCATAATCGAAAAAGACGTGAAAGTTAATATTATTCCGTTTTGAACCTATCGTTCTATTTAATTTCAAGGCCTCTCCAGCAGAAACTGAAACTTTTTACGGCCTGAAAATTGTATTATTGGAATCTAGTGTCCATAGGCTTTCTCTCAATGCCTTACTCGTGCTTCAAAAGACAGTCCATGAATATATAACCAAGTTTTTCCTGGTGCATAATCGAAAAAGATGGAAAACTTATTATTATGCAGTTTTGAACCTTGCGTTCTATTGAATTTCAAGGCATCTGCAGCAGAAACTGGAATTTGTCACGGTCTCAAAATTCATAGTTAAGATATAATTGACATTAGAAGTCCTTACGTCACTGTCAGTGATCCACATGTATCCCACAATGCATTGCGTATACCTGATGTTTTGATGGATTGAAAATTGCGTGATGTAAACAATTCTAAATCTCGCCGAAGTGCTGTTCTAATTGACCTCCTATCCGAATAATCAAAGTCCTGAATTTATAAAACCCAGCATGTCAATAATCTATATAATCACATATGCATGAGGTATAGTCGACAAATATAATATAGCATACCTGGACGCACATGGTATGTAGGTCATCTAGCACCATGTATATTTTGGGTAGTAGCAGAACGCATTCTTTATGTCATAATGATGTTGACGAAAACGAGAAAAGCACTCGATACTTTTGAATGCAAATGTAAACTAAACGGGAATGTGCATGCCATCATAATATTAATACCCTCCCCAGAAATATCAATTGAAAGTATACTGAATATAAAACGTAGCAATAATTTACAGTCAAAGCTCTATTAAACGAGCACCTTTGAGATCTCGAATTAATGCGTCCGAGCTTAAAGCTAGTGGGTTCCGGCTTCTAATACTGAGGTACAGTACTAGTCGTGGTTTATCAAGATTGGGACCAGAGGTCTGTCGTATCCGCTGATATGCGGTTTAATTGACTACATGACGTATCATGCACGCACGAGGAAGATAAATAACAAACTAAAAACAAACATTTTAGGTATAATCGACAAATATTGGTAATAGCAATATCAGCAAATATATTACAGTAGAGAACACCATGACATCTTTTGGGTAATAGCAGAACTCGTGCATTGAGTCATGATATCATTGACGGAAACAAGAAAAGCACTTGGTACTTTGAATGCAAATTAATACGTAGTGCATCATCTTTCTAAATAAATTATACACAATATATTACAGTAGAGAACACTTTGAGTATGACATCTTTTGGATAATAGCAGAGTCATGATAACATTGACAGAAACAAGAGAAGGCTGAGAAGCACTTGGTACTTTGAATGCAAATTAATCTAAACACCGAAATCAAACGTAGTGCATCAGCTTTCTAACTGCCAATTAGTCAGGCTATGCAATATACACAAGCGTAAAACATACAATACTTTTTGTTTGTGGAAACGCCACGTAAATTTATTACTGCAAAGCTTTTTTTCCGTAAGCCTTCATCAGTGCTAATAATATGTGACAGACTTGTCCATTTCACCCCCCGATTTTCTCCATATACTTGATGAACATCTTAAATATGATGCTGAAATGGAATTAATCTATTGATGAATATAATTACAAAATATTTGTGAAAGGAATTATGTGCGGTATAAAAATAACAGTGTATATGTAGTCACGCAAGTGCAGGTCTAACTGTTTGCATATCAACCCAAATGTATTTCTATTCCGTATTTTCCAGCAAACAAATATCATTGGTGTAACTTGGCCACGTGACTCTTAAGCTTCAGCAGTTCAAGTCAGTTATGTTATATGAGCGGATACGCAAGTCGATTTTTTTCAAACATGCACCAACGTTCAAATATATCACACGACAACTAAATTGGGAAAATGGCAAAAGCAATTTTTTTTATTTTCGTTGGCTTGTTTGCGGTGACAAAGCTTGCTGACGCGATCTGTTGTGAGTCGATAAAATCGGAAGTTGAGAAGAAGGTTGAAGCCAACAAAACATTATGCGCTTCTGGAAGCGCTCTTTCTCTCAAGTGTTGCAAGGATATTGCAAACGAAGTGGGAAAATATCTTTCTGCGTATGAAACATTGTGCTTAAAAGGTAAGAAGCGGAAACTTTTTTATGCAATTTAGTTAGTTAGTTAGTTAGTTAGTTAGTTAGTTAGTTAGTTAGCTTAGTTAGTTAGTTAGTTAGTTAGTTAGTTAGTTAGTTAGTTAGTTAGTTAGTTAGTTAGTTAGTTAGTTAGTTAGTTAGTTAGTTAGTTAGTAGTTAGTTAGTTAGTTAGTTAGTTAGTTAGTTAGTTAGTTAGTTAGTTAGTTAGTTAGTTAGTTAGTTAGTTAGTTAGTTAGTTAGTTAGTTAGTTAGTTAGTTAGAAACTTTATTGAAGTGTCATATATCATATAGCCGGTTACGTATAACCTACTAATTGCAGGGGACACTATATTATTATAACTATATTATGACTATACTAATATTATTCAGTTTATCATGCAATACTATACTAAGATCAGTTTTCTGATACTATGCTTAAAAGCAAATAGCGAAGTCTGATTTCTATCCTCGGCTTTTAAATTTGACCAATTTAAATCTTGGTATAAAAAATCTGAATTTCTAAAGTTATAATTCGTTGGCGTGTTTATAAATATATTTTAAAAATCATTAATACTTCACGAGGAAAATGAATGTTTAATCAATGTTTGTAAATCGGATAAAAATTTGTCCTGATTTACATAAACTTCAGCTTTGATTTTCTCGGCTTATAGACAATGTTTATTTTTAAAATTACTTCGCCAATGAACCGATCAGATGGGTCATTTTTTAAGTACGATAAAACGTTCGCATCCGATCTGTATCTGATATACAATCTCTCGCATTTGGCTTGAGTTTATATATCAGATACAGATCGGCTGCTCATGTTTTATCTAGTACTTAGTATATGTCCTGCAACATCCTGTTATACAAAATTGTTAACTGGCTTCTTGACAGTAGATCTTCATACGTTGACTTCCAGTCACAGAAAACTGCTCTCAGCCCCCGCTCATTTACCCGTTCTACTTTCTACAATCCGAACTTTGCATAAGTGCGAGACCAATCCACAGTACGTCAGATACGGTAGTATATACAGTAGCAGTGGCATACAGATATTTTGAGGCCAAAAATCTACCCTTGCGTGTTTGATAGATTAGATACTGTTGTATATCAAATTTTCAGTTAGTTAGACATTCTGTTCTAATAAACTATTTTTTACTCACATGCAACCGTTTGAGAATTTGACATGACTAAATTAGCATCCAAGACGAAAGATTTTTTAATTTAACGACTTTTTTACCTTTATCATGCAGCTACACTTAAACCATGTCAAGCTCCGAAAGCGTTAGGAATGCAAAGTGGAAAAATACCAGATAACGCAATCACCGCGTCGTCCTTTTACAATAGTGCTTACAAAACTTCGTATGGACGATTAAACACAAATAAAGGCATGTGCTCTTGGACAACCACACGTCAAGGGAGGAGTAACTCTTGGTTTCAGGTTGATCTTGGACAACTGGCCACTCTAACAGGAATAGCAACCCAAGGAAGTTGCCGTGCCAGCGCTGAATGGACAAAGACGTACTTGGTTTCGTACAGCACTGATGCAAAGAAATGGATATATTATCAAGAGTCATGATCAAAAAAGGTTAGCCCATGTGTGTGTGTGTGTGTGTGTGTGTGTGTGTTTGTCATTGAAAGAAAAAATACGAACTGCGCGCACATTTGGCAATGAATGTGCAAATGAAGCCAACTGCATGATAATCAACTGAATTACCGAGCCAAAATATAAAAGTTTCGTATTGTATATAGCAAAAAAAAATTAGGAAAAAAAAAATTCTGGTATTTCCGCATCTGCAGTTTATCAGTGTGAATCCAATTCTATTTCTACCTGAATATAAATATGTATGAATCTTCCTGCCACAAGATGATGCCTTTTGCGTGAAACAAGCTGTAGCGGCAACCTTTGAGGTAAACTAAACTAAACCAAACTCAACTCAACTCAACTCAACTCAACTATTTTTGCAATATACTATATACGTGACATTTAAAGAACATGTCAAGTCTGTTCTGCGCATCATGCAGTTCTGCTCATAACAAATGGGGACCCACAGATATAAAAAATTCCCTAAATTTTGCATCTTTCGAACTTTTTTGAATTGAAACGTATCAACATGAGCTCCGAACTTTGAATTTACTATATGAGTAAATTCTTAAACACTTCCGAATTTATCATTATGATAAATTCGCGGCGCATTTTGAATTCAGTCAATAGAGTTAATCATAAAACCACAAGCATTAGACAATATTTTTTGTTATAAATGTATAATGTGACTAAAAGGGAGGCTGGCTGCGCGGCGACTAGGAGATCCCCCAAAAAAGTTTCGAAAAGTTTTGAAGAAGTTTTAAAAAGAAACAAAAAGTTTAAAAAGTTAGATTTTGAAAAAAGTTTATTTAGGGGGTTAGATTAGGGGTTTGGGGTTAGTGTCAGCCGGTTAGATGCCGCAAATTTATCATTATGATAAATTCAAAATGTGTCGCGAATTTATCATAATGATAAATTCGGACGTGTTTAATTAAGAATTTACTCATGCATATAGTAAATTCAAAGGTGGAGCTCATGCTGAACGTACTCTAGTTAACTTTATAATCATACAATTGCGAACCAGAAAAGTGTTAGATAATCAGTTAGTATGTCTTATTTTACAAATATAGCAGTTCAAAATGTAAACAAATCCTTTGTTTACATTACGGACTTGACATGGTCTTTAATATTACACTGCACTCATTCTTTCAACGTAATTTTAAGCTAAACTATACTCATAAATGAAGTATATAAATAAAATATTTTTCTCTTTATTAAATTCTGAATACATGAAATGTAAATTAAAATAATCGATGTGGGTTAGTTTTATGACTTTATTGACTTGTATAAAGTAAAGGTCCAAAAGCCATCTTGGATTTTACCTTTATGAACATGTGATAACTGTATAGGTTAGAAAACCTCAATTGTTTCTTTCCCAACTGTTGTTTAGATCTTCCAAGCTAACAGAGACAAAACCTTCATCGTCAGTCACTCATTCAAAACTCATTTCAGTGCTCGATACATGCGTGTGTGGCCTCAATCCTGGCAAGGTTACCCTGCATTGAGAGTCGAGTATTATGGTTGTCGTCAGTAGAGCAATAACATCATCCTAATCGTGTAATGGCTGTTTCCCATATTTAGCCTACTATACTCGATCTTTAGATTTTGTAATGTTATACTATAATGGAAATAAATATTTTAGTTTGATTAATGTTATATTTGTATATGTATATATAAATATAAATTTATATACATATGTGATTTGAGTGAATATAAAATTTATTGACCCAAATCACAAGCCTAAGTTGAAACCCATGATTGCCTTGTCATCGTAAGATAGCGATATATAATAGTCATTATAATATAGTCATCCACCGTATATGAGCTGTTCTGCAATCTGATTGGTTGAATTACTCGCCGTATATCAGCTCATATACGGCGAGTAGCGAAAAACAAGATGGCGGTCCAAAAACTACATGAGTTTTGCGAAGCAGAAAAAAGGAAAATATTCGCTTTGAGAAAGATAATAGTACAAGGAAAAACTCTCAAAAAAATTTGACAGGTTAGCAAAATACATTTATTACGTAGAAATTAGTTTAAATACAAGTTTTTTAAAGAATTAATACCGAAACAACAGCGAAAAAACATGTTCATTGAGAATATAAATTGTTCAGAAACGTTTGCAATGAACGACAAATGAATTTGCAGTCAACAAGCACTTACTATAGTACCAAACATCTGTATAATATATCTGAGCTTTCCTGTGAGATATAGAGGTTCTAAAACCATTTCTTTCACTCGTCTGCGAGTTGTAAAACAAAAGCATTTCAAATTTTCAAGCGGTTTTTGGCCGAACAAATTGTCAACACATTGTAACAGTGAATAATTAATTATTGCTTCAGTTAATGGCTATATTAGACTATATTATAAAACAATTATACCATTCGCTCTCGTCGTATATGGCTGATAGCCGACTCGGTGCTACGCACCTCGTCGGCTATCAGCTCATATACGACTCGAGCTCATGGCATAATTGTTAAATATATTATGGAGGGTCAAATATCCGCATTAATACATCAGAATTCAGTTTGAGTCCAAACATTTTATAATTAGGTTTATCCGACTAATTATGTCAAACACTGTGTGTTCCAGTGGTGTTCCCATTGCGCTTTTCGCGCTTGGAGCAAAACGAAGTTTAAAGGTTAAAAGCCCAGAGCAAATAATTTGTCTTAGGTATTGATTGAACTTATAGTTCCTCGTGCACATCCGTTATAAATTGCGAAGTTAAATAAAGCAAATTATTAAGCATTGATAGAGTTGCGCCAATAAATCATGCCACCTGGCTGTTTAATAGAGGTGATAATTTATATAAAACATAATTTGACACCGCTCATAGGTTGCCGCCACCGTTTGTAATAGAGGGGTTACCGTATTTTATAGTAATTGGATTACAAATCTTTTGGGACTTTGATACGCGGCCGTTTAATAGAGGATGGGAGGGCCGCTTAATGGAAGTTCGACTGTATAAGTAAATAACTGCTTTCACCTAGTTTCTATATGTACCATCATGCATGTGCTATAAAAATGGAATTTCCAGGGCAAAACAAAAGACAAGGCCGGCAAAAAAATTTCTTGGAAACAGAGCTGCCACAAAGCTAGGCAATCCTTCTTCGCATACCAACTTTCCTGAAATGCTCTCCCTTTAGATTTTATCATTAAATTCGAAGTTGGTCACTGCTTAACAATAGTAGCCTGATCGCAACCCGAAAATTCGTTCAATGGAAAACCGGATTTCCACTTTAAATTTTCGGATGGGATCTGCTGAGCAGGGTAAACAATAGTAGCTATTTTGTTCGCAGAATTTTTTCCCAACAAATCATTTACAATGTCGGCTTCAATAGAAGCTGGATTCGTCACATTTGCTGAAACCATTGTATAAACTTCAAGAACAATATCAGATATGATAATTACTCACTTTTAATACAGTTACCTATTAAACGTGGCTAGTTAAGCGGAAAGCTCGCACGAGAAGACAATACAAGGCCAAGACATGCACAGACCTAGTTATCCAATCGGAAACCAAGATTTTTTAGATTGAAATTTTTCGTATAGATTTAATTATACATTTATTTTGACCAAACCAGGAACAGCTGCAAACAAATGCAACTACAGGCTCTTTGGCATGCAGGAATGAACCTGCAGCCCTGTGATTCCGGCGGAGCGCTCTAATGAACTGAGTAACAGAGTGCAGTTGTCGAGCTCTAACCAAGCACAAACTCATGTGTATATATGTATTAAGGTGATGCCTACTACTGATTTTATTTTAATTTTATGCGGAAATCTGAACCCCTGCATGGCGGTCTGAACGTTTCACGCCCAGTAGCGTAACGTTATATCAGGGGGGGGGGGGCAAAAAATTTTCCAAAAGCACGAGTCGAGCGCCGTATATGCACGAGTTTTCTAGGGGGTCCAGGGCCAACCTCGTACCCAGGATCTGTCTTTGGGAAAGACCCTGACTGCGGCTGGTCACGTGCCTCATCACAAATTTAGCGCCTGAGGAGGTGTGGGGAAAGTATCAAATTACATAAACATGCTTCCAATGGAATATTCGTTAAAAACATAAATTTTGCGAATTATTACGTTCAAAATACTTGCTAATTTTTGTTTATTTTCTTTGCTTTGAATTTACAAGAACATTCTTACATTCTTACTTAGGCCTACAGTCAAGTCAAGAAACAAAGCAAATCGTTACTCGCAGTACTCTCTCGTGTTGTTATTCAATGCATGCTCTCTTCACACTCTTCACAATCGAGCGCGGTTATATTAAACTGCAAACCTTTTAATTTTGTAATGTTTTTAAAATACGCCATTACATTACGTCCTTTCTTGTAAACGTTGATACGCTTTGTACCGATTCACTTGTTACTACGCGTCTTGTTTATAAGATTTTTAAAAGAAACAGTATTGTCTAGGACTGACCCAATATTAGCAAATGTAAACATTTGATAATAGCCGAACAGAGAAATGTCTATAAGAATAGAGGAAATTCCAGTCATTGGTTTATCTGGATTTAGTACATAATTCGTATTCGGTATAATTATAGTAAGACATTAGCCTTTTTTGGTCTCTATTAATCATTATATTGTGTTAACATACTATAATCTATATCACAAATTTACAGTGTCAGATGCGCACAGACCGTCACTTGGCATCATACGAATAGACATAAATTTTCGAGTTTTCTAGCCTACTTCTACTAACATTTTTAACGTTTTCATTGTGAATCACCTTTTTATCTCTAATTCATTAATCATTTACTACTTATATTTATTTGATAGTGTCATATACTGAATAACACGTTTACACGCAAGCAATCCTGGATATGATATAGACGATGCAAGCTGTCCATTAAAAAATAACGGTATTCTATTTCATAAAGTCAAGGCAAAAATGTAAAAAAACTTGCATTATTACGGAATGCATACACAGCGAAAAATTAAAGCTTATTCATGTCAAAACGAAAGCTGTTTACAAAATTTATAAAGGTGGTGAACACTACTAAACAGTGCTAATTGAAAGACATGTATAATATAGTGACATATAATTTGTCGTTTGACTTATCTTTGGTGTATGATTTTAATACCGTAGATTTTCAGCAGACAGCTATACTTTGACATATACCATGATCGTTGGTTTCAGCAATGTCAAGGGCCAATTTTATAGAGTTTTGATGGGCTTTAAGTTTTTTTGATAAGGCCTTTAGTTTATATAGATCAACAATCTTAATATACAGTTGGCGATATTTCGGAAATCAAAAGATCTCGCTATTTCGTTGCAATTCCACATCTCATCAATAAATAAATTCTTTTTGGTCCGAGTATCAGGATAGACATTAATACTAAATAAATAACAACCACACTGTTCGGTCTAGAGATATATATTTTCTTGTAGGTTTATAAATATCGCCACGCTGCACAAGCGGCAAGCGTGCTTTGTTTGGCAAGTCTGTAAGTTGAATATTGAAATCTGATCTAACTTGCTTGAATTGTAACTCGACACCAGATTATAGAGTAGAGCGTCACGATATAAATATTAATTGAAGAGTTCTCTTTACGATTTCTTGTTGCAAATTTACATACAGTAAATGTCATCACCCAAAGTTGCAATTTTAAAACGCTACAAACACGCTCCTTTCCCACCCCTCTCACAGTTACAATTAAATTTACCTCCCATAATCTGGGAGGCAAGTGATCAGCCGCAGCCAGGGTCTCTCCCAGATGACAGAAAGAGAGACCCTGGGAACGAGGTTGGTCCAGGGCATGCTCACGCGGAAAATTTTTGAATCTATAGACTCTCTGAAATGCCATTTCCCGGACTTTGGGGAGAGATTTTACAGAATTCTGATGGTCAAAAAACGACATTCTAACATATCAGAGACCCTGGCCAATGTTTTTGCTCTACAGCCCGAGCCTGGGGGCTGCCATTTGGCCCATTGGGGTTGGGGGGCCCCCGAATTCTTCCGGTCCGAGCCCATAGTAGTTACGCCACTGTTCACGCCTATTGGTTTATATTTATTTTAGACCCTATTAATTCAGATTAAATTTGCATTTTGTTTCTTGTGTGTATACATGTTATGAGAGAATGAAGTTCAATAGAATATTGATCAAACTACAGGACAGTTTCATTACCATTGGCAATGTTTGTTTGTAAAGGAGTTGCATCAGATGTTTTTTCTTCAGGCTGGTACAACAGCCAGGAAAGCGCAAAAAACACAGCTGAGATACCTTAAATAAAAGAAAATTGTCATTTTTATTAAAAGGAACATAATAAAAACACAAACTAAGCAACTAATGACCGTGAAAGATTTATTGCACTCTAAATTATATAAGTAACTCAAAAAAGCAACATCGTTCTCAACTTGGCCTTGTAACTCAGTAGGCAGAGCATCGTTCCAGAAATGCGAAGGTCGCGGGGCATATTCACAATTTTGGCATATCCGTAATATGATTTTTTCTGTGTTGGTGTAATGTTCGATATCAGTGTAATCTAATAATCATGATATTTGCTGTGTTTGTGTAATGTACTCAGGTGAATATATGATGCTTGTGATGTTACTCTGAGCGGTGTATATTCACACCGGGCAAGCTTGAAAAATATGCCTGTCCACGGTGCGAATCGAACCTCGACCTTTGGAATACTATAGCCCAATGCTAGCTCAGTTGGCAGAGCGGCTAGTATTCCAAAGGTCGCAGGTTCGATTCCCACCGTGGACAGGCATATTTTTCAAGCTTGCCCGCAACATATTACGGAATATGTTCCTCACCCTCGATGACTGCTCCAAATATACAGATATTTCTGCTAACCAAATCAACATCGTAAACAAAACATCTTCCCTTCTGCCCGCAGATGTCTTGCCACAATCGACAGTTTAGGTCCAGCAAATGGCCAAGAATTATTGGACCTGGGATTAAGCCGATTCCTTTCACGAATACATATTGCATTCCCATTGCAAAGGCACGCTTATCGTCCGGGACGCATCTGCAACAAAATACAATTAGGATTTTATTGTAAGTAATAGCATGGCATTCAGGGCGATTAGTGATCAAATGTACCCGAAAGCCGCCCGAGAGAGGTTTAGTAAAAGTTTTACGAAACCTCTCGAGGCTTGAAGGACGTTTCATCACTAATCGACCGTAATGCCATACTATCACTTTGTAATATCATAGCTACCGAGACAATAAAACGGTTTCATTCGATTGGATAAGTTGAAATGAAAGGCGCCGCATTTGCTTTTTGATACTATAATGACTATATTGGGGTGTTCGTTAATGAAGTTACGGTTGATATTTCATGTCTGTTAAACATTTAATTCACATTAATATAAGAGGTTATGCATAAAGATGAGGGACGATTATATAGTAACTAATCGTACCGTGGGATAATTAGTTTCCAATCATCCCTCACGTTTTAACAATGAGACGTGGATTGTGACTTCATAGTAGAGCTTTTAGCGGATTCAAATTTAGACAAGACCATTGTCGGATCGGCGGATTTGTATACCCCCATTCACCTCCCCCCCCCATATGAAGGAGCATAGTCGAGAAAGATTGCGGTAAGTTGTATTATTTAGAGAATTAGGCATGTTTTATCATACAAACATGTCTCAGTAATTTTAGTGAACAGTGATAACGAATCTGCATGTGCATGCAGTGATAGAGTGTAACTGTTTTCTATAATTCATTAAAAAATGGTTAAAAGTTGCTGTCATGGTTATTTTTTCGGGCAGGTATGATTTTAAATTTCAGTCAACCTAAAGAGCGTCATCCGTAATATTTTCTTGGGGGTATCAGTAGTCTCGAGCTCTGGACTGGCGTCTACTCTGTTGCTCATTATTTCAAGAGGCCGTTTATTACAGTATTTACAAGCTATATAAATATAATAACACAAATATACACACAAAAACAGAGAAAACATAACGAACTTATTAATTGCATGCACTACATTTGTTTCTAAAAATATCCTATCCTATTTAAATATTTACAAAGTTACCAAAAGGAATCAAGTGTCGTCAAGAATACGTTTAAATTTATCATTATTAAATTCATATATCAATATTATTAAATTTAAGTTTAAATGATTCCATAAAAGATGCATGTTCATCAATAATTACGCCTAAAGTTTTTGATTTGTGAACCCGTTTAATGACTGATTCACCAAGTTCAATTTTAGGGTCCGTTAGTACTAAGTTTGAAATTCGTTGTCTTGAACCAATAATCATGTATTCAGTTTTATCTTTGTTAAGTGTAAGTTTGTTTGCAAGTAACCATTGGTGTATATTTTCTAAGTCCACGTCAATGCGTTCTTGTAGTTCGTCATTTGTTTTGCCATTGGTTGAAACATTTGTGTCATCGGCAAACATGCTTGCTGAAGATGAGGTCAGGCAGTTTGGCAGGTCGTTTATATATAATAAGAAAAGAAGTGGCCCAAGATTAGAACCTTGGGGTATTCCACATTTAACTGTTCTTGTCTTGGACATTGTTTGATCTACCTTACATATTTAAATCTTGCTACTAAGCAAGCGTATGACCTCTTATTCCATAACAATGCATTTTTTTTAACAATATATTATGATCAACACAGTCAAACGCTTTCTTGAGATCCAAAAAAAATCACTCCATTTAACAAACCCTTATCCATATTCATTAGCCATTGGTTCGTGATGTTAGGTAGAGAAGTTTGTGTACAGTGATTTTTCCTAAATCCTGCTTGTTGTTCTGCAAGAATGTGATTAGTTTCAAGATAAATTTCTAGTTGCTCTGTAACTAATTTCTCATATATTTTAGCAACTGAGGATAGAACCGAGATTGGTCTATAATTATCGCAATTAGTTTTGCTTCCAGCCTTATGAATTGGAGAAATGATAGCAATCTTGAAGTCTTCAGGAAATATACCAGTGTTTATATAGATGCGTTAATTAAAGATTGCTGACAGGGATGGTGCTTTTACTTCAGCAGCTTCTCTTAGAAGTTTACCGGGTATTCTATCATGCCCTGCTGATTTGGATGTTTTAATTGTAGAGAGCAACTTATATACCTTAGTTAATGAAACATTTTGTATCGTAAATTGTGTATCGGACCTAGTCACGTATGACTCAAATGTCCTTGAGCTCTGTGGCATGTTATTAACCAAAGGAGATGCAACTTCGTTATTATTATTATTTATTATTATTATTATTATTATTATTATTTATTATTATATCACAGTCATTTAAAGTATTTGTAAAGTAAATTGCTTTTGTATTATTAATTAATCTATTCAAATCATTTCGTGTGCGTTTATAAGCATCATGGAAATATTTTGATCGTGTCTTAACTGCTTTTTTCTTTAAAAAGCCTCTTCGACGCATAGTTTGTTTAATATTTTCTGTAATCCATGGCGCGTATTCGCTTCTAACTTTTTTTGTTCTTTCTGGTGCATGAAAATCTGCAACCGACAGAAATATTGTTTCCCAATTTTCCCACATAATATTTGGATCAAGCATTGTATCACAGAATACTTGATCATATAAGTATGTGGAAAGGTCTGATTTAAAGTTGTTTGAGTTGTAGTGTTTGAAATTTCTTGATTTAATCACTTTTGGCTCTTTACGGGGAACGGAAATTTTTCTCTGTATATAGATTAAGCTGTGATCACTTATCCCCAGATGAATGACACCCGAGCCATTTATCAATTCCGGTTTATTGGTGAATGCTAGATCTTTTAAGGTTTTACTATTAGCTGTAATTCGCGTTGGATCACTAATTAATTGTTGAAATTGGAATGTCTGTCCAATTCCAGCAAGCTGGTTTGTCTGAACGTTAGCGCTGTTAATGTGCAGTGATATAAATTTCATTTAATTATAGGTATAGCTATAAAGGCACTTCACGTTATATATTATGGTTGACGCGTGATTCGCCAAAAAAGCTGCCAGATCATTTCTTGATTAGTGTTTTTATTTAATTAAATTATATTTTAAATCCTTAGGTTGATAATAAAACACTAATTTGCATATATATAATTTATCAGGATGAACTTCCACGAAGGTGATCGAATCTATAGCCACACACATTTCTTACTAAATTGAGAAATTTTGAAAACTTTAATTATCATATATTCGATTACTAGTCATTGTACCTTAGAACAACAGTCTTTAATGGAACGCTGCATGAAAAGAACACGCATAAGCCGACGCCAATGCAGACCAAAAAGATAGCCAGATTCTTACAATCACGGTCACAGTATCCTTGTCTTGCTGTACCTGGTTTACTTGTATCCGTCATGATACAGGAACAACTCCCGAAAGTCTATTCAAAGACAAAGAGTATAATAAGATAAGGACGGATAAAACACATTGGCATATACTCGCGTGAGCTTGATTTGATAAAAAACTTTGCGCAATTATTCGTGCATAATGTGGTATTGTAAAAACAACAACAACATTAACAAAATCCTGTAAAACTGCTCTAACCGTTGCAAAAATAAAGAATTTACACCTTTGTATAATCCTTGAATTTTTAATGTAATTTAAATCAAAATGGATTTTTGTAGATGAAATTTTCGAACAAAAATTTAGAGACAATTTTAGATCTGTCCCCGGGAGTCGCTGCTAAGAATGTAACTTTAGGTCCGGCAAGAATCAAACCTGCGGCTCTGCGATTCTGGTGCAGGCTCTGACCACTAAGTTATAGTGTGGAATTACCGAGAATTAAACACAAGTCTTGTATATATATAGATCATAGTGTCTGCCTAAATTTGTATAAAATTTTCGTTCGAAAATTTCATCTACAAAAATCCCAGCGACATATATTCAGTCATATTGAAGGAGATGTGCACAATCCTGATATATAAGTTATAAATTTCATTCAAAATTCACTAAGATTATACTTACTGACCTTGTCATCATATCTTGCGGTGCAACCTGCATAACAGGGGTTTGGATAGCCAATATTATCTGACCCACACACGGGTGTAAAGTTATCTATGCTACAGCTACAGTTGACGTTACATTGAGAAATAAGTACGCCCGTGGAGTATCTTGCTATCATTTGTTCATGAGTGGAGTTTATTCTAGCGAAAAGTTAACAGAGCCCATTAGGAAAGATAATTCTTTAAATGCAAGTTCACACTAAATCAGGGCCACCTTTCACATACTAAGGGAGGGCAAGGCCCTCCCCCAATGCTGAACCTTGCTTAATAAGTTTCGTTTACACATCGGGAAATATCACGGGCTTTTCGTTCCATTTCAAAAAAAGGAGTAGTACACTTTTACTTAGAGACTGCATCTTTAGACTGTTTTAATACACATAGGCGGCGGACAGAAGGGGTTTAGGAAGCGTACAGCCTTTCAGCATAGGCGTAGGAGAAGGAGCAGTTTGGACGTAAACGTCGGACAGAGTGTGCTTAAGAATTGGGCGATTGCACTTAAAATGACTAAAGGGAAAAGCGGTGAGACACTTTTAGGGACCCGGGCAATTTCACGAGCATCGGGCTAATATTCGGCCAGCCTTCTAAGTTTTTCCTTCCCTAAGCCTTATGCCTTTCAATAGGAAAAGTTACCGGTAAGCCGCACTACACTACAGGGGACTTCGGTGGCGAAATTACAAGAGCAAGCGTCGATCGTGCGTTAACTCGATCCTCGCTGCGGACGCGTGACATTTATATGTGGAATTAGTGGAAAGAGCCAGTCAACGCCCTGCTGAAAGTTGTTGGTTTTCTCCGGGTACTCAGGTTCCTCCATCGAGGGAATCTTAACAGGATGGGTTAGATTAATCTTTAACATTAAATTAACTGATCCTTACACCGTATATAGCTGTGCTCCGTGTACAGACATGAAATATAAGGGTAACAAACCCCACTTAAGGTCGCAGTGGGAAAATCTAATATCAAGGTGTCATCATCTTTGCTGTCTGAAATGCAAAACGAACAAATTTTAATCTTGAAAAATTTTCTTGAAAATATTAAAATGGCGTAAGTAGATAAAAAGGTTAAACATTGTCTTGCCTCACAGATCCTTGACAGGCCCGTCACTAAGGAATTTGTCTTTTTGAAACTTAGAAGATTTTTGAAGGAATTTGTCTTTTTGAAACTCAAAATGGATTGATTTCGCCAATGGAAAATTTATTTTGATGGGTCCGAAGGAGAGAGGGGGCGGGTGTTTGCCGGCAATACAATTCTTGGATATTACAGTAAATATTAAATGCTTTAGCGCTGAAATAATTCCTTACCTATCTGTATAAGAAGTGGAAACTCCAGCCATGTTAACATTCAGACATCCAGGTAACAACATCAGAAACGGCACGATGATCGCGAACGACTGGCTCACGACAACGTAGAAAGCTGATCTCTTACATACACTTTTGATTGGAAACTGGCGCACAACAAGAGCTCCAAATATAATTCCAACTATACAATGAATAGAAATTCTCGCGTTTAGATTTTGAGAAATGGTCCTCATGTTCAGCACATTGAGGTCCACATCACAAAGAGAATATTTTGGCGTCCTCGAAACATATTTTGATGTCATCACAGTTTAGATACTTGGTAATAGTGGTTACAACGAGTCAAGTCATTAGCCCTATTCACATTAGAGACGGACAAGTCTTCTAGACGAACAAATCGTCTCTCAAAAATCGTCTTCACAGACGGGCAAGTAGTCAAACAAATTCAGACGACTTGTTCCACACGTTTTCACATCTGATGATTTGTTTGACTAAAAGACGATTTTGAGACGATTTGTTCGTCTAGACGACTTGTCCGTCTTCTAATGTGAAAACGGCTATTGACTCGGACTCGAGGCGACTGGAGTCGCAATTTCCTGCGAATCGACTCGAGTCGAATACGAAAAGTTACTCGAGTCAACAGCCCCAAATGATTCGACTCGGATTCGACTTGTTGAATTGTGCCGTAAATTATTACAACTGTCAAATCAACTACAACTTGTTCAGGATAAATTCATAAAAAATATTGTAGTTGGATAGGTTGAGAATTAAGAGTCCTGAAATGACTTGAAGAAACAATAAGTAATTCTCGAAGCAGATAGTCGTGTTTATACTTGCAGGGAATATTTTAAAGGCATTTTTGCTCATCTTTTTGTTCACCTTTTTGTTGACGATACAATTCGTGTAGCCATTGACTCGACTCGAGTGAAGCCATTAACTCGACTCGACCAGATATAGTGAAATGACTCGACTCGTGATTCGATGTTTGTTGGGTGACTCGACCTGTTGATGACTCGTTACAAGACTGTTAAGTGGGAGTACAGCTAGCATTACTTTTGGCAGCAGGTTATGTTCTCATGTCGGTATATCTTTTTGTGTATAATTTGTCAAACAATATAAGAAGAATCATCAGATGGCTGACAAATTCGAAAAATCTCAATTCACCTTAACTGTTCCTCAAACGTCTTAACTCGCTTTAAATAATCTCAAATTGCTAAATTCGCCTAAATTCGCATAAACCCACATAATCTGGTTGGGGATTAAGAAAAATTACCATCCCAGAGTTGACTTCTCATTTGCGAAACGTTAATGGCCAAAGTGTTGTTCAATTCTCAAGACATATAAAAGCAAATAAACTACGAGTGTCAACGCAACTTGAAAATCATATTTAACTTTAGACAAGAAACCAAAATACAGCTCTAATTTGAGAAGAAAAAATACTTTACCATATTTCAGGAGTCAGGACAATATCTGTCCCACAACCCGGTGGAAAGCATGGTGAAAGTAATATGGCGGAAATAGACGTCACGGTTACATACCCATTATTGTAGGTGTCATAACGGCTGACAAAAGGTATCCATTGCTTACTGGATCCAAACCAAACTTTAACTGGGTAATCTTTCCCAAAAATGGAACGAACGAATATGCAAAAATTACCGCAACAGAAAGTCCAAGGGTACTAAACAAAAATGTCCAATTCATAAAAAGAGATTTGAGTTCAGGAAGGATTTCTTTAAGCCTCGCTTCTTTGACATCGCTTTTTTTGTTTAGGTTCCCCTCGCGGATGTGTTTCTCACGACGTTCTTTGGCTCCAGGTAACGAACTGGGAAATCCGGATATAATGATCGCCAGAAGGAAAAATAACAAACCAAAGACAAGAAATCCCAACCACCAAGCTCCTATCCAACGAGGATCTTTTGGGGTAAGGTTCAATCCACTTGGCTGGAGTTTAAATAAAATGAAATAAATTTTTTTTAATCATTTAAAAGATAAGGAAGAAGAAGGGAACGACCGGCACAGGACAGGACCAATCTCGTTAATCCAACAGAAATAGATAAGATTTTCCCTTTATTCTAATGAAAACGATACACTCGAGGACTTTTCAACTTAAGATTTAAATTTTCGTTGGTAAAAGGTCCGTCCAGTTAGCATTTGTCACGGAAAAACAAACGGTAAATATTAACTTTCAGATTCCTCTTGATTTCATATGAAAATCCATAAATTTCAATTTTCTATGCAGGTTGATCCTATAGATTACCTGGTCAATGTCAACAAACACACTAAGAAACTGCCCGCCTAGCAATATCCCAACTCCAGGTCCTATTAGAGCAGAAAGATAAAATAGACCAATATATACAGGCATTTGTTTTGGTTCAACATTTTCATCCAAGTAAGCAGGTACCAATGGATACAGTGGACAGATACCAGCACCATGGATAACCTGCGCGATGACAAATATCAACATATAGTACCACATAGCTCCAGAATCATTGCTGTCACATGACCCTGATGAAGAACTGTTTTTGGACGATATACAAATTCCACCTTTACCAGGTTGAAAGTCTGGAACATCGTATGGTCCAGCCATGAAATGAGGCAGCGAGAACAAAAGTAGTCCAAAGCCTGTGATAAATTATGGTTGAGGAAAGTTTATCAGCTCAAATATGATTCGTTATGCATGATTTCAAATCATAACTGCGAGAACTTAAAATAATAAAATCCAGTCTTGTCCAATGAACTATATACATGGAAAGCTGATTTAAGTCAATTACGTAACCAAAAAGGGAAGCCAAAGATGGTGGATTTTGAAGGTATTCTTGTGCGTCAGTTTCAGTCCTCTAACACACCCGGTCAAATATCGTTTTATATTTTCGTGGTGGGAAGTGATGTGTAGACGACTCTAGGGTTCTGTTTTTCTTCATGTTCAAAGAGCAGAAAAAGGAAATTAACTTCATTTGTTTCATGTGAACCTGATTTCCCTATTTTTTTTTTAGGAGCTTATGTTTAGTCAGCCTTCCTGACATAAAACTGCATTTCAACTTCAGTTTTAATTTAGCGCAGAAACGTATACAAAGAAACTTTTTCCGTATATGTAAAGAAATTTTGGTTTTCCATTTTCATATTTAATAAAGTGACATGATGACTGTCTTAATTTTAAATTGTTTGTTTCAATGAGTTATTTATATGCATGAGTGAAACCCATGTCAATACAGGCAATAGGCGTATTAAAACAGATTGAGTAACAACTCGGTTCAGCCGGGCGCTATTTGTTTTCTTCCTAGGCAAATACAGCGTCTTTTAAATAATTTCAGTTAAAATTTAAAACTGTCCCCAAACAAAACAGCATCATTTAACTTTTCATTGAAATTTCATCTACACTTTTACTCAGAAAACAAAGGAAAATATGTAAGTTTAGTTAATCGTGCATGCTTTTACTCGGAAAAACAAAGAAAAATGTGTAAGTTTAGTTGACCGTGGATGTAAGGGGACTGAAAGTGGCGCACAGGAATGCCTTCAATTTCTGCCAAGTTTGGCTTCCATGTATATAGTTCAGTGATCCAGCCTACATGGGTCCACAAACTAGCTTGCATTATTCATATTTAAAACACTCATTAATATAATTTATAGACGCTTTGGCAAATCATGTGAACCATAATATGTCCCATAATACGGTATGTCACGTGAAGTGGCTTTATACCTGATAAAATTCATCTTCATTGGTATTCTTTATATCAAGTCCACTAATGAGACGGCATCTATTGTAGTTGTGTTTTAAGTCATTTAAAGCACGTGTAGTCGTGTTTTATCATTACAGATAACTACAGATAACAGTTAATTTTCTTTCTAAAACTCTCACCTCCGCTCATAGTATAAATTACGTTAATTCTTTTTGACTCTATAGGATTATACGGAAGGTCTTATTTTCAATATTTTTTTATATTTTTATGTTTAAGCTACGAACTACAAAAAATCTGCATACACGGAAAATATTTCCTATTTCTTAAATGTAAAATGCAACATCTTACCTGAAACACCGGCTCCTCCTCCCACCCACTTCATCTTGTTGCCATAGTTACCATAGAAACTGATAAAAACAACGATAAGAACAGCAGCGACGTCGTTCGCTGCTGAAATAATCCCGAGTTCTTTGCCGGATAAACTGAATCTCTTTTCAATACTTGGCAAGATTAACACAGGCAAACCGTTCATTGATATGCCTAAAATATAGAGAATGTTTCCATACAATTAACATCCGTTGTCATCTTATCAAGCAAATAGAAAATATTGCTCGTTCTATAGAATATAGGTATAGCATTGTTTTGCAGTATGTGTAGTATAATTGCGTAGTAAAGTCGATATGTTAAACATCTATAAAAGTAGTTTGTCTCCAATCCAAATTAAACTAAAATTAATTAAGACTCTTTGACGACCGTACGGTTTCGCATTACATTACGACCCAACTTTTCTAATGTAAATATCTCGGCGAGTATTTACCCCCCCCCCCCTCCTTTCAAACAAAAGCGACCATTGATATCCTCACGAAATAACCTTTCGAACGGGGGGTCAAGTGCCGTCAAAACATTACATAAACCGAAACAATCATATATTTACTCACCGCTTGGCCAAAGATTCTAAGAGAAAGTACATTTATTATGCCGAGGGGTGGGGGATGAAGATGTTAAGGGGGGGCTCCGAAATATTTTCTGGCATTAAAGGGGGGGCTCTGAAAGTTCTTGATATACTGAAGGGGGGGCTCTAAACTTTTCAAAGGTTTGACCCCAGCAAATTAAAGTTAAAAGTTTTACATTTTCAGGTAAAATTTGCATAATAAAGTAATTATTTTTGTGAAATGATAACCATTTTTGTAAAATACAGTCAATTTACATGCAATTTGTTTGCGAAATTTGCTTTAGAAAACGCCAGAAATTCAGTCCTAGAGCTTCAAAAATGTAAAAATTTTCTGGGGGAGGACCCCCAGACCCCCCTTTTCTCCCAAAACTTAGTATGAGAGTGCCAATCAATCACAAAAAGCTTTATTATAATTATTACACGTATAATCCTCTGACATCCCCCACCCCCCAAACGTCAGATGCTTTGCTACGTCCCTGATGGTTGTATTCGAAACCGATTTCAGTTTTAAGATATCCTTAGTCTGCTCTTCTAAATGGATACATGAAATCACCTATAGCTTATTTTAAATTTTTTGGCGCCAGGTTTGTGAAGTAATTTACGCGCCAAAAAGTAGCAGTTCCAAAAACAAAAAAGCATATACGATTTGCAAGAATGATATGTTCTATGTTTATGGGATATTTCGCACAAACGGGATGGAAATTAAAGAAATTGAAGCATAACTGGCACTTTTGCATGCATTTTTCACAGGCATGCAAAGACATTTGCAACAGATGCCGGGAGATACGTTGGGTGGGGGCGACATACTGTAAGGTTCCACCACATTACCCTGATCCACGAAATCCTGGCCACTACATGAGGGTGTTCAAGACTCCGAATACGCTGAATGATGGACAACAACAACCTGTTGATAATTTCACCCCTAGAGCCAATTTAAAATGTTTTGAAGACGGTGCCATTTCATCTGGCGCTAGTGAGGTGAACGAAGCAGCAGATCGGTAGGGCCAAAAAAAAATGTGGGTTTCCGGTTTCTTCTTATAAAAACTTAGGTAGGGTAGGTCGGTTTTAACTTTTTGTTTTTAAACTTTTTTTTATTTTTCCGAATAAGCGGACGCCATTTTGTTTAGTCAGTGCTTCCATATCCCAAGATAAATTTCCCTATAATTGCCTCAAATTTCAATTTTCCACAAACTTTTTCCTCCAAGTGGAAACACTTACAAGCATGATCCAATAAAAAAGTTTAGGGTCGGGATTTCGACGTCCAAAAGCTAGGTAGGGTTGGGAAACCGGAAACCCACATATTTTTTTTGGCCTAGTTTTGATGAGGAGAAGCACATGCTTGAGTATATCAGACATCTTGAGGAACTGCAAATTGTATCTATGATAAGAGAGAATTCGAATTCCGGATTGTACTCCTTCGATTCCGAATTCTAGAGGAGGGTGGGGGGGCATTGAAAATTTTAAAATCTGGGAGGGGGGCATCGAAATTTACCGATAACCTAAACAGGGGCCCTGTAAAAATATGAGCTTTTTTAAGACATCTTCATCCCCCTCCCTCGGTGTAATAAATGTACTTTCCCTAAATGTCATATCCAGAAAATCTTGAATATCTCTTGAACTCTTCGGAATTATCGGCAAGTCAATCCAATACTCCTTGTATTCAAGCGCTTTCGTGTGCAAAATTTTGTTTGAATACGGCGAGTAGAAATATTTATTTTGAATTTTTCAAGATGTCGGGTTTTACTCGCACGCGCGTACATTGCGCAATAATTGGCCAATAAGAAGCTCCTGTGGCCGGTGTCCCAGGAAATTTGCCCCCCCCCCCAAATTTGCCCCCCTAGGGCCAAATTTCCTAGGGGCCATATTTCCTCCCCTTCGGAAATTTGGCCCCCTCGAAAACATAGTTTACTTTATCGCTATAAGCTCGGAAATCGTGAAGCTTCTTCTTACAAAGATCCTAAAAATGTTTGTCAGTATTTATAGTTAGTTTGCATAATTTATTTGTGTCGAAATTCTTCATTGCGGCCAAGAGCTAAAAGTTTGAAAGAAAGCGTAATAATAATAATGTGCAGTCATGCCAGACGCATCCGACACATGGGTATCTGTAGAGGACAACGTTAATCGGTTAATGCACGATGGCTTAGCTTTAACTAAGAACGCAAAACGATTATTTGTAGAGATAAGAATTTCTAAGATATTACGAGTTATGTAGATTTATAAATTCAGTCACATAGTATGAAATTAGTTACCCTGGTTCCAGAGGTTTAAAATAAACCTCTGGTTGAAAGCGGCAATTGATTCATCGAGCCGCGCCAATCAGTTTGAATTAGAGTCAGATCCTGACTCTGTCTCCTGATTGGATGATTGTATTAAAGCTCTCTGATTGGTTATAGATGTTTTATTTGAATCAATCAGAGAGCTTTAATACAATCATCCAATCAGGAGACAGAGTCAGGATCAGACCCTAATTCAAACTGATTGGCGCGGCTCGATGAATCAATTGCCGCTTTCAACCAGAGGTTTATTTTTCCTCGAGCTCTCCCCTTCGCAATGAAAATAATAAAAATAAACCTCTGGAACCAGGGTAGAAATTAGTCAGAATAACAACCGCACTTTAGCAAACGATGACATCATGCGTTGGCGAATATGTTAATATGCACGCGTCTAATAAATAACAGGGAGTAATTAGCGGTAAAAGTAGACTTTTAAGTTGAAACGTTTGTTCGAAAAACAGAATCAAATGAGTGGTTACTTCGTAAAAAAACCTTTTCCTATGTTTTTATTCTTACATATACACAGTATATATAATTGCTCATATGGTTGGGATGCATTACAGAAGCATTCAGTAAAAACGAAAGTAGACTACATGCTTCATCGCTCACAAAAACATTCCGCGCACACAAAAGCACGAGAGTTTAAATGACGTTCGGTTTCCATAGCTTAATGATACAACCATTATTTAGGGGCTGTTCATATGATCCCACTTACCGAGAAGTCTTGCCTACCGAGACGAATATTTCCGTGCGTTCATATGGAATATTTCGTCCCGCTTGCCGAGATGAAATTACTGTAGTTCCATAATTAGCGTCTGCTACATTTCAGTCAAGCAACACAAATAATTGCGATTTTAGTGTTTTTCTTCGTTTATTTACAAGAAAAAGTATTGCTTTAGGTGCATGTTAACGTTGTTATTATGTTGTTCGCATGCCTTATTAACGTTGTCTTCTACGAAGCTGGTCAAAACCAAACGCGAAAAGTACGCTAAACTTTAGCTCTTGGCCTAATTCTCGTCAGTATTGCATTCAATTCAATGGAGAATTTTGACACAAAAAAAAATACGCAAACAGACTATAAATGTTGAGAAAAATTTCTAGGAAATTGTTTTAGTAGAAGCCTCACGATTTCTGAGCCTAAAGATAAAACAAACTATATTTTTTTAAGGGGGCCAAATTTCCGAAGAGGGGGCCATATTTCCTAGGAAGTATGGCGAAATATGGCCCGGGGGGGGCAAATTTCCTAGGAAATTTGGACCAGGGGGGGCCAAATTTTCGGGGGGGGGGCAAATTTCCTGTGACACCGGGATGACGCCAAACTTTACGCGTGTAGGCGCAATTTGACCTTCCGAATCCATTTCTGGCCTTTCCAGGCTCGTACGATACAAACGTCGCATTGTTTTGACGGTTTTTTGTCGTATTTCCGGTTGGGATTAACTCACTTCGAGCTTACAGTCGGACAAGAAATGGAAATATATTGATAAAAGATACAGATTTGAAGATACAGGCTTGCAAGTAACACTCTAAATAGTATTTTTGATGGGGATTCGAACAAGACTATTACGAAGACGATATGTTAGAAGGGGCCGAAGTTATTTTCGGCGAAATGTGTGGTTAGTTTATATTTTTGTTCAGGCAATTGCGTAATTTGATACAATATGATCATGCTTGACTTCAAAGGCCCATAAATCCCTACAATGTTGATAATGACAATAACTATCAGTGGCGTAGCTAGCGAAATTCGACAGGTCCTGCTCTAAAACTCTCACATTCTAGGGGGGTCCGGGGGCATGTTCCCCCGGAAACTTTTTAATTTTAGAAGTCTGGAATGGCCATTTCCTGCGATTTCACGGCGAAATACTCCAAAGGGAGCATCAAAAAAATAGATACTTTTTAGAAAAAAATTTTGTCACCTTTTGAAATCGTATTTCCATATTTATCATATTTCACTATATATTTTTCAACTTAAAAATTTAGCTAAATATAGTCAAGTCGTGTAAGAGGAAAATATCATGTTTTCAATACACGTCTGTAATATGATCTTTCACTTGGTCAACGTGCAATTGCGTAACTGAACAATTGTTGTCGGTGCCTGTTGAATATACAACACTACAATGACTACATATACGGCTAGCATTCGTTAAAAAATTACTACGTTTGTTAGTAATGTTTAATAAACCATATTAAACGGAGTGGTATCAACTACGGACCACTACGCTAATTGGTACTCTGATTGTATAATTCAGTACGCTATGCCTATGGCTATGCCTATGGTATTTAAATATAATAAAATTGCCGTAGCGTTTAAAGTAAATATAGTGTATTAAAATGCGGCTAACATAAACTCTGTAAATCTAAATTGGTAGCTATATCATTTTTAAACTCCATATATAAGCGCTTGTGTTTCATGCAATGCATAAAGCAGATGTACTGGCAAATAATACGTTCATACTTTATATCAATACGACACAAAATACACAATCGAGTCTGTTGACATGCATTTCGCGAGCTAAAATATCTGAGCAGAAGCCAGAAATTATATCCAAATCACAATGGGCTTCCACGCTGGTTGATTTCCATATTCATCACTTGAGTAATCTTGACAGAGTTAGTAAAAAAGTGGGTTTAATCACGCGGAAAGCTCGCAAGTAAAGACAATACAAGGCCAAGTCCTGCCATTTCGAGAGAGCAGGACTTCGCATTTGTAAATAGCCGGTTTGAGCATGCGCAGATCTAATTATCCAATCAGAAACCAAGATTTCTTGTATGAATTTACTATGAAATATACTAGCAAGTCCTGCCATTTGAAAATGGCAGGACTGAAACACGAGCGCGTGTAAATCAATATATTGCCCGGAAATGAGCTTTTGTAGAGTTGCAGTTGCTAGGTAACAGGCACGGCAAGCTGTAAAATTGCGTAAATGTAATAGAATACGGAAAACTTTTAAAAACTAATAACGAAAAAGACGAGAAAATGATACAAAATAACAATATGATAATAATAAATTTTTAAAGCTTCAAGATAAATAAAGTAATGTTTTAGTAAGGAAATTTGGGGAAATTTTTAGTCCTGCTGGGCAGGACAAGCAGGACCGCTAGCTACGCCACTGATAACTATAGTGAGGAATTAGTTGAATCTTTTATTTCTGAATCGAATGGTGGTATTTCTGTCTTCATGGCATGCACGAGGATATGAAAACACAAAGCCATCATGCGCGAGAGGATGAATGAATTGGGATGGGTCGCTAAGGCGTATTAAGAGTAATAACAAGGAAAGCAAAGCATTGCATATCTTGCATAAGTACTGTATTGCATATCTTGAATGGCAAATTTATGAATTAAGTGTTTATTTTTATCTTGCAAATTTATGAATTAGAGGGCCTGTCAGTTTTACTGTTTAGTGTTTTACACTCGTAAAATAAAGTCTTTCAATTCAATTATTGCAGTGTTATACTTACATTAGCAGGTGTAGCATGCGTTTGTTGAATATTCGCGGATGATGCTAATTCGCGCGGATGATGATAATTTGGGTGTAGTTTCCTGTAGGTTGTGTGCGCACGTACTATTATGTAAATAACTAATTGCAAAATAAGCTAATGTAATATATTGTACTTCACTATGATTCTGTTTTGAGTATGTTGATCTAAAAAGCGGAGTGTTCGGCACGTTACACAAGCAATAGTATACTAGTGAGTGTGATTCGCAGTGAATCTTCAATTTAAATACATTTATTAATAAAAATTGAACTTGGTCCTTCCGTGCTCCTGTCACGTCTGAATATGATAAATATTAATAATATCAAATTACATATTGTCTATATTGTTATTATTGTCGGCAACGCATAAAATCACATTGTTCGAAGCCGAATCTATAGAAGAAACACACCGTCACATAGAAGCGAGAACAATAAACTCTTAATAATTATCTGTAAATTTTGCTATAAGTTAGGTGGTGAAGTAGGTCAAGTAGGATTTGGTGAACCTCAGAAAGTATAATTGATAGCTAACAAACTTAGTGTTGATAGCTAACAAATCAAGTAAAAACCAAGATTAGTAAAGTCTCCAGGCAACTTACAACGTCCTCGCAGAAAACAAACCAATTAAAACGCTGGGAGTAACTATTGATCATCATTTGAAATCTCATCAAGATTCGACGATTCGGTGTTAATTAAGGAATTCTTGGACAGAGACTCGCTGTTTTATGTGAATGCCATAATCCAAGCATGTGCTTTAACTATTGCTCTAAAGTATGGAATGTGTTTGGCAAATTATACACAGTCAATTTATACAAAAACTTGACAAAGGGAGCTGCTCGAATAATTATAAATACGAAAAATTATATTGACCACAAAATTGCGTTGAGCGCGCCAGAATAAAATAATATGCCCACCATATTGATATTGAATTTCACATATTTACCTGCGCAAAGTGTGTACACCATTATAATCACAATAAACCATTTTGGACTGGTCAAAAACTTTAGGTATGCTGGTCGAAAGTTTCTCCAGCCAAATGTCAACGTTATGCCTTGATAATTCGATTGTTTTGTTAGCAAATGCTTCTGCTCCTTTGACACTTCGAGAGTCGTTCTGGTTGAATCCATGAGAGCTTTTGTCGAGGCCTAGTTAAAACCAAATCCTTGTCACGTTTTTCAAATTGCGCATTCAAGATTTAGGGAAATACTAATGTAAATACAACGAGTTAAACAATTAAAATTGTAAACATTGTATGACGCATTAAGTCACAGGTTCCTCGTGGCGGAATTTTGCGCGTGGAGTGGAATTTTTCTTTGTCTTGGGATTTCTCATGTGGAAATAATTAGAAAAGACAAAGAAAAATTCCGCTCATCGCGCAAAATTCCGCCTAGTGGAAAACCGGCTTAAGTGATGGCACAAGTGACATATTACTTCCTGCTTGGTGAGTAGTACAACTTAAAGATCAAACACCTCAGTATTTACATGGAGTAAAAGAAAAAAGCCGGTAGTTCCAAGTTGATAACAACAAAATAAGATCAAGCGCGATTTACGTAAATTTTGACCTTTCAAAACAACTCCTTTTAAGACAATTTTATATCAAATTCAACGTAAACTACCAGTGATTCCAAGTATATATTTTGTGTGCTGTTAAACTGTGATCAGTTGGTCATATATTTTGAATTTTAATTGTGGTGTTGGCTGTCGTGTTGTGTCTAAATATCGCTGCAAATTGTGAACATTGGTTATCTAACATTATCTCGCTGATCATGACGGTGTGGTGGATTTGTTTGATACCTTCTCAGTGGTATATTCGTATTGTGTTCGTGTTACCGCGTCAAGTTTGAAGTATATTAGTTCAGTGGATTTTAAACAACAATCACTTTAATTTAAACTTAGGAGGTTGGAATTTTTGAATTTGTAATTAAGTATATAGCGTCGCTCGTCATGACAACAACAGTACTTATACCTGTATTCGTATATCCATCGTATAAAGACAAGCTTGTACTCTGGAATTGTGTTTGCCTGTCTATTTGTTTTGTTTTGGTGCAATTCTTGTTCAATTTGGCTGAGTATTTCATGTTTTATTTGTACTTTTGGTGTTGTATTGTACTGTCACGAATCTTATTTCACTTTGCCTTTGGGATTTCCCGTCCACATTAATTTGCTGACGTCCTCAACAAATCACCTCATTTCAACCGTCAATTACCTTAACTTCCCACCTTGCATTAATGTTCGTTTTTAATTCTATCTACGATTATATATGATCACCATCAGACTTGTCCTAGTTCTCATGCTTTTCCTACTGCTGTTTACTCGACAGAAAACGTCACGACCTCTCTACAACGATAAAAGCCTACCCTCCAACGTGACTGTTTGCTCCGAACTTGAACACTATAC